AGCATTTTTAGATCATAAAAAATCAATTATGGTTATTCTCCTTTTCTTATCTTTGTTTCGCGATTTACATTAGTTGACAATGAAGTCCTCACTGAAGCCCAAAGTAGAGCTAATTTTGAATGGAAAATGATTACTCCTTTAAAATACTTCTTTAAAAATATTCCTCTAATTACGATTAAAAAAAACTAGCAACATAACAGCTTTATTCTATAACTTCATATAGATTGTCCTAAAGTTCTTGCGAGTTACTGTGCAGTTCGTTTAGAGAATTGAGTATAACAATGGTTTTGAGTTCATAAATGATTTTGGCAGGTATGTGGGTGTTTGTTCTCGAATTCATGATCAATTTTAGCATGCATACAGGGTCTTGGATGTTTTTCAAGAAAGTTATGATTTTAACTCTTATAATATGTGTTGAGAGATGAGATTATCAAGACATTACATAAATTAATGTACCTTTTCCCGGGATATACACCACACCGCTTCCTTTGCTGAAATCGATCCTAGGATTATACTTGCGCAACAAATCCTTATCAAGCTTCGTCTGGTTCGCAATTGATTCCAGAGAATCCTCAGCTCTAAGTGGGTATGTGATGAACAACCCGTACTCTTTCGAAACGCGGCGATCCCCACACGAACAGTTCACTGTCACATTGAGCATTCCATGGTCAGGAATATTGTCCGGTGAATAGCTATTCGCACTCTCCAACATCGAAACGGCGGTCAAATTGGCATAGCTCTGATTCGCAACCAACGCACAGGTGTCTCCTTTCTGAATCCGGTACTTGAATACGAACCCCAGATATTCACCATCTATGCAATCGCAAGGGAACGGAATGTTCACTCGAGCGGTGGTTTCGACATAGTCATCGCTTAATAATTGGTCTTTGTAATAGCTGATGATATCTTGCGTTGTTCGAAGAACTGGGGATTGCACGATCGGCGGAAGGACCGTGATATCGGCAAAACCGACCCAAATGTAGTAGGAGGCAAGAGCCAAGCCACATCCTTTCTTACACTTGGATTCTGCATTGAGACAGAGAGAGAATAACAGTAAGAAGAGAAACGGAAATCCGAATCTGGGTACCATTTGTATATGGTCGTGCTGAAAAAGCTAAGAGGGAAAAAGAATCCCAAACGGAAATGAGTGCGCTGATGAATGAATAAGCAGAAAGAAAGAATGACCGAAGCTCTGAAGATGGGCTGGGGAAGAATCTTCTTCCTAAAAATCAGGGAAAGCTAGAAATGATTCACAGTGGGATTAAAGGACAAGATGACGGAGATTTCTTTTATGTGAATCCTTGAATCTAGTATAATCATGGAAGACAAGCCAAGCAATCGTCCGGACTGTGTGTATAGGAAAACTAAAGAAGTTCGTACACAAACCAAGTCAATAGAAGTCAGCCCAGCAAAAGAAGTCCAGGACGGGATCACGGGACTGTGCCTCTGGCGCGTGCTTGAAATTTGAAAGGTTCGTCGTTTGGGAAAATAACTTGGAAGGCAAATTATTTCCTGAGGTCGAATAGTCTTAATTTTCTTTTCTTAGATATTCAAAAATGCTGCGAATTAATGCCAAAAAAATAACAGTTAGGTTGTCAAAATTTCAATTTTTTTAATAATTTGAGCATTGTTTTTTTGGGATTTTTTAAATACTAAAATTAAGTTCAGCATCAATCATTATATTACTCTCCTAATTTCTTTTCTCTTTACTTTTTTTTTTTATATGATTATATAACGAAGTTAAATTTAAACATTATTGGGTATGGATAGTTTTTTCTGGGAAAAAAAAACACTGGCGGAATTGTAATAAGATCATGTGGAAGGAACATGATAACTGAATAAGTTCTAATAACAACTTTTAGAATAAAAAATGATAATATGTTTTAACTGCTCATTTATCATTAAATTTTTTAAATAATTATTATTTTTTTGAAATCTCACAGTAGTTTTTGCCAACATTTTTACTTAAACAGCTGAAACTCTTTCTAAAGTTCTAATAAAATCAATGCATATTGATTTTTTTTTAATAATTTCTAGTTGTATTACATTGTATTTTTATAATTTGGATTATATATTATGTACTATTTTGTCATAGGACCTATTTGAATTGGCAGTAAGAAAAGTAACTTATTTTTAATTTGACTTTTGAAAAAATTAGATTGGATAAAAGTTAAATTGGGTGATGTGATTTATGTTTGGATTGACTTTTATAAATAAGTTAGTTTGTAAAAAGAAGTTGTTTGAATTATAATTGAATAAGTAATCTTAGTTTGTAAAATTACCAAAATATGTATGACTTTTATTAAAAAATAAAAAATAAAAAATATCAATTTACATAATATACTAATTTTAAATTATTTATAAGCTCTTGTTGATCTTATTTTTTAAATTTTTTTATCATTTATTATGAGGATATATTTAAAAACAAAAGTATATTTCTGACTTGTTTATTATTTTTAATTAATTTTAACTAACTTTTTGTTATTCGTAAATTAGTTATTTGAGACTTATAATAAAAATCAGAAAACATAGTAAATTTCTTAATTTTTTCTTTCTCCGTATTCTAAAAGTCATAAGTCATAAGTAACTAATTTTTATTTATAGTTTATTGTGACTTTTTTATCCAAAAGTTAAATTCGTCCTTTGCCAATCCAAACGCTACAAAATCTTGAAATGTGCTTTTGGTTACAAAAAAAAAGGAGCTTGTAGCCGTGAACTGCTGAGTCACACAGGCTCACAACTTATGCATCTATCATGTTCTTTATAGGGACTCGAACTCATAACATTGAAAAATCAAGAGAAAATATGCAATAACCACAATTTACTTCACACATCAAGTTGCTTATCATGTTTCCTAATACTCATGCCAAACCTTCATAAGATTGTTAATATGGGTAGAGAGATAAGCATTAGGTAAGCGATATTGAAAGATGAAAATAAGTTAAGCTTTGCTTTAATTAAAAGAAAAATCATTTGAGGTTTCAAAAAAGAGGGTGGCAATTACTAAAATGTTAATCTCATACTTTCAGTTACTTATTTTTATTTTTATTTTCTTTTTTGGATTCTCAAACTAATGAAAAGGAAGGTTTTTGGTTTTTTGTTAGTTGGCCTGAAAAAGGGAAGTTTTTTGTGGGGGTGCTTAATGAAAAAGGCAAAATTATTTGTAGAAAAGTAAGGGCATGTGAAATTGAAATAAGGGTATACATAAAATTATGTATATACTGCAGAAAATATCTTGATGTAACAAAAAAAGTGTGAAATTTTAAGAACTACGTGTAATTTTCCATCTGATGACTAGAGTTGGGGTTTTCTCAAGCAGCTGATCTGGGCAAGTTTCTAGGCGTCCCACTCCACCATGAAAGAGTCACAAATGAGACCTTCCAGTATGTTATTGACAAAATTAAGAAAAGGTTGAGCAATTGGAAGATCCAAAGCCTTTCTTTTGTGGGAAGAAGCACACTTGCAAAGTCTGTTTGCCATGCCCAATCATGTTAAGCAAACATCCTACCTCCCGGATAGTACCTACAAAGATCATTGAGAAGAAAGCGCGTGACTTTATATGGGGATCCTTGGATGAAAGAAGGAGGATACATCTAATTTCTTGGGACAAAGTCTGCACGGAGAAACAAGTTGGAGGCCTAGGAATGAGGCACATCAAGCAACAAAATCAAGCATTTATGATGAAGCTAGGATGGGGCCTTGTCACTAAGAGAGACTTTCTTTGGATTAAGGTCATTCGATATAAATACGGATGTGGCACTGATCTTATGCCCCGTATTAATGAAAAAAAGCCGGGATCAAACACGTGGCAAGGAGTCAAGAATAATTGGCACCACACAAAAGAAGGGATCTAGCAGACCACAAACCACCAAGAAAAGGAGGTAGGACGCTGGAAGTAGGAGAAAAGTGGGAAGTTTACCACCAGCTCAGCATACAAAGCTCTCAATCTACCAACAGAAGCTTCTGTGAGCAACTGGAGCAAAGTTGAAGCCCCCCAAAGGTGCAAATCTTTTGCTTGGCTTGTGCATCACGAACATGTCTTAACTAACCAAAGAAAGTTCAGCCGTGGAATACGTCTCAATGGATTATGTGACTGATGTAAATAAAATCAAGAGGATGAGGCACATGTGTTCAGGGATTGTCCTGAAACGTGGGAGTTTTGGGTATGGATCATCGAGGCAGATATGCACCACGCCTTTTTCTCTTGTGACTTCCGTGATTGGCTGCAGTTAAACATGGGGACACAAGTCGAGACACTTGATTCGGATTGGAAGAACCTATTTTTATAATATGTTGGTTGCTTTGGCGAGCAAGGAATGACTTCACACACTCGAACTCAGCCACAGATTATGATAAGGTAATAAGGAAAGCTTTGGCAATTAGCTCATGTATGCGAACCTTGACGCAGAAGTTGCAAGGCACGAAGATCAACACGAGAATGAGCCAGGTTACGTTACCAGAACTAGAAGCCACAGCTGACATGGTGGTCAAAGTGGATGGTGCGTTCTCATTCTTGAATGGACTGGTGGCGTGTGGTGGTGTTTTCAAGCAGCACGATGGTGAGGTTCTTGAAGGCTTCATGTTTTGCATGGACAAGGGAGATCACCTCACAACCAAACTCTGGGGATGCCTTTTGGGTTTGAAACATGCTTGGGATCTGGGTGGACGTAGTGTGATCATACACTGTGATTCCTTAGACGCACTCAACCTTATTCGAGGTAACGATATTGATGTACATGTCGATTGGGCAATCATCCGCGAGACAAAAGAGTTGCAGAATCGGAATTGGAAAATTGCCTTTCATACTATCAACAGAGACCAGAATTTGTTGACTGATGTACTGGCGAAGAAGGCACTGAATGGACCCGTGGGGCTCCAACCTCTCAATAGAGAATCTGTAGTCTCCTTTGCAGCTCAGGTTCGTGTAGTTCAGTTATTTTATTCCGATATATAAAAAAAAAAAACACCTATAATAAAATATACAGATATGAAACCTTTTATTTGATGAAAAAATTAGCATCTTTATTATTCATTATTTTGGATTTAAAAACAAGGGGAATCCAAAATAACATGTGAGTCACTTAATTTAAATATTATTGACATATATTTTCTACATCTGCTTTCCGGACAACATTTCTGTGTATGATGGATTTTCATACAAGGAGGCAGTGTCTCATTCCACACAAGAAGAAGAAAGTGTCATTAGAGTCACCACAACAGATCTCATGCTTGGACGTCGGTCTGGGTCTTCATCTGTGCACACTTTGGCTAGCTGTGCAATCTGCAAGCACCATGAATAGCTTCTATAAGCAGAAAGATTCAAAAATATGTTTGGATTCTATAAAGACTGTCATATCCTACCCACTTTAACAAAAGAATACAAGGGGAAGGACATGTAAAGAAGGGAAAATGACAAAAAAAACCCTGAAAATTGTAAAATCCCAAATAAGGATCTGTGACAACACTAACTTTAATAGGTTTGACAACAATTAAATTGCACATTATAACACATTTTTGTGAAAATACCTAATTTGAGCTTTTACAATTTTTCAGATCTTTTTTGTCATTCTCCCTATAAAGAACACTAAAATATGAGAATTTCAAAATAGTTCATCGAAATGGTTTAATTTCAATAACTTCTTCAAAAACTATTCTAAAATTAAGTGCTTTTGTGAAGTGATCTAATTGCCCTTTGTAAACTTAGCTGTCACTGCCTTAGCTATTGCCATTTGATGAGTTAAGGTTGTTACTTGTTAAACAATAATCATTTTCGTTTTTAGTTTTAGATTTTAAACACAAGCATTTGAGGAATCACTATAAAATTTAATTCCAAACTAGTTGTAGAGAGCTTCATGGTGACTAGGTTATTTTGGACTCCTGGATAGAAATTTACAGATTTAGGAGTATTGTGTTTCAAAGTCACATCATATTTTGGGGCACTATTTGGGTGTTACATTAGCACTACACAGAGTTGGGCCATGTCACTAAAACATTAGTGAGGTTGTGGACCTTTGTATGTGGCCATCATTTTCATAGTTATTAAATGGTTTCATGCGGTTGTGATGATAGCTGTGGGATCAGAATACGTGAATGAGCTCTTCATGACTTAATTGGATTAGCAACGCACTAATTCTATTGCATTTTCGCTTCATTGACACACTTACCTTGGTTTCTGAGTTCTTTATATAGTTGCTGTCAAGTTCTCTGATTAGTTGGTGGAGATAGTTCTAGAGCCTGGCACTTGACAGCGAACATAGGTATTTTTCAAACACAGAGTTTTAAATAGTTCAATTTATACTCACCTTGTAAACCGAATCGATTGTGTATTGATCACCGAGCCTAGAATCAACAAGCTTTTGAAGATGTTCTTTTGGATTAGGCTTCTCAAAAACTTCTTCAAACTGCACCAACCAAGGCAAATATAACTCTTAAATTCTAGTAGAATCACATGATTTGTAATTAAAAAAAGAATAGTAAAAAAAACATTTTAACCAAGAAGTCAAGAATCACCAAAGAGACAAGGGATTTTGTTTCGGAACCAGCTTCACCAGCCCTGGACAAAGCTTCTTTAGCAGATATAAGTTCATATAGGACAACTCCAAAAGCAAAGACGTCAATTTTTGGTTGGTGAAAGACTACCATAAGCATACCTGCAGATGGGAGAAGAGTAATCAAACTTGAGCACACAAAAGTGAAATCGTTTTGGTGATCAGAAAAGGGGGAAGGGTGAACTCATTTTAAGGATTCCACACCAACACAAACTTTCTTGGTATTCATATCCAATCACGTTATTCAAAGGGAGAACGACATCCAGGTCTCAAAAGCTCAGTTTGATAGCAATTAGGTTCCAAATGACATCTAGGCTGTTAAATATCCTTAGGAGGTGTTTGGATGGAAGGTGGAGAAGTTTGTTTTGATTTACAGAAAAATACTTTTATGAAGTACTGTTAGGATATCCAAAACCCCCTTATTATGTTGTTGAGTTCGAATCGCAACGGTGCTAAAGTAAGGGTAGTTTGGTAACTTTAGAGTGTTAAAACCTGTTACCACCATAGAGCTTCGAACTCAGCACTTCAAAGATATTGAAAAGCTTCCCGTAACAAGAAGCTGTCAACATATCTTTGTTGACAATCTACAATAAATAATTAAAATATTAACTACCCCATTTTTTTCATGTCATTACAAAGAAGGCAGAGAAGAGCAATTTCTAGCGGCTAAAAACATCTGCATAATATCCATGAGGATATTTTCACTCTTTAAGGCCCCATATGTGAGTGATTGTTTTGGTCATGTTTGTGATGATATGCATGTGACAAAAATCAATCTATTTCGAAAGAAAAAAGAGGGAGAGCTACTAATTTATATTAAATCTACTGGATGGCCTCAGGTTCTCATTTCCATATTTTCACAAAATCCGCAAATCTTCTCTGCCTAAGTAGGTTGTTGCATGAAAAGAAAAGTGGAAGTTGACATACTCAGGTGGCATATAACCAAAGGTGCCTGCAAGATTTTCAGTGGAAGTGATGAACTCCCACTTCAGTGAGATTGTCAACCCAAAATCTGAACCTGTAAAGATGAATATTCAAGGAATTACAATTCATGCAAAAAAATAGA